TAGAGACGGGGGTAAAACGTCATCTCGCTTCAGGCTTATTGGATGAAATTTTCACGACTTGTCAATTTATCAAGATGACCACTTTATTATTTAACAACTAAACAATTAAAGTCTTTGTTTTATAATGAATACTGGTAGTAATCATTCAGTATTGATCGGGATCACTATATTCATTACTATGGCAACAGTACCAGTTTCTCAGTACGTCTATTTCTTTATTTTTTCAATGATCGATTGAGAGTCACATAATTTTTGCTTCATTATATCGCAACACTTATTTTCACTCATATTATATATATTGTCTATTTGGCTAGAGTGACCACAGTAAATCCGTGAAACTTTAGTAATACTAAATAGCACAATTTCATGCAAATTCCATTGTTCACTATTTTGTACTATTTATTATCATATGACCGTGAATCTTAGAGCCTGGACACTAGCAAATCGAGCAATCTGATTGGATAGATCGCATCGTGGTCTAGATTCTCCGGTATTAACCGGTCCGATCGCATATTAATCTTACGGCGAAAACATTTTGTCCTTTTCTATGAAAAGTGGTCATATAATAAAACTCTTATCAACCGAGCTTGGTCGGTCTGTACGGGATAATCTTGACCTCGGTCTGTACATTCCGACCTCGGTCAAGATTATCCCGTACAGACCGACCAAGCTCGGTTAATAAGATCTAAGTAATTAGTGTTTCACGGATTTACTGTGGTCACTCTTTTAGGTCTAATACAGATTAGCTTGATTTTCATAAACCGGTAAAACAGATATCATTAGTTAGGATGTAATAGTGAAATGACAAAAAAAAAACATGTCAAAAAGATCACCACGGGACCAAAAATCCCACAACTATACAATCTAGAATATCAGTAATTCTTGACAATTAATAAAACGGGTAATAGGTGTTATATGCAACGTAGCGACTTTATTAAATTGTTATAAAATTTTACAATAAAGATAATTAGCCTATACAATAAGTGTCGACCTCTAATCTAGCAATAGGTATTAATAACAAAAAATATTTAAGTGGCCTAATAAGTATTAATGAAACAAATACTGTCATAGCTAATTTAAAATTAGATATATTTATAGACATAATTGAGATGTGATGTCGAATTTTTTTATGAGAGAAAATCATGTATATGAATACAGTTCCGTACATTAATAGACCTACTTCGTACGCACTCACTCACAAACTTCTAAAGATACAACTTATTATTCCTTTAAAAAAAACGTATTTCAATAATGTCGTCAATGAAGTGAGAACCATGTGGTATCCTATAAGAAAATCCTTATGAACAGAAACGTAGAAAACCGGGCCAAAATACATAATATATGCCAAATGACATAGAGGAAATTAAAAATCGTACTTTCGCAAACGTTATTCGACATCTAGGCAATAATAAGCATAATGATACTAAATAATAATAATAATAATAATAATGATAATAAAAAATAATAATAATGATAATAATGATAATAATAATGAATAATAATAATGAATAACTATAAATTTCGGCTTTTCCAGGATAATCTAGACTAAGAAGCTACCAGTGATTCAACGTAATGCAGGCTCGTGGATCGCAACCAAGTTTGGTTGTTCTTGGAAGATGATGACTGAAAGAGAAGTTAAATGCCACGACTAGCACAGAAAGAAAAAATTCGCATTAAAATGAAATATCTAAATAGGTAAGATCTATGCTGGAGGAATGTTATTATCAATGACACATGTATAGCCAAGGTTTGTTGATCCGAAACAAATGGAAGGGAAAGATGAAACAAAAAAAAAAAAAAGAGGGGATTAAATGTAGAAGATAGCAATGAACGAATTCGAATGAAAAAGAAAGAATGAACGAAAGAATGAACGAAAGAATAAACGAACAAACGAACGAACGAAAGTAAGCCCGGGAACCTGAAGAAAGAAGAAAGGAAGACAAGAAGGGAGAAAAAAATGAATGCCGAAATTGTATTTCCAATTTTTGACCGTTATTAAAAGTAAATGCCGGATACGTAAAAATTTTTATTTGACTGAATTTAGAAACCATGGGATTCTTTTTTAAATCCAAGACCAGTTTCCAGCTCCCTCTTGACTGCTCCGCCGCCCCTTTTCCGACTACAGAGCCGAGAAAAGGGAACTCAAAAACAAGGCCCTGGTCAAACCTTGACTGTGCCAAAGTTATTGATGTTGTAGGTAACCAAGCAACCACACACTTTCCCCCTCGCTATCGTGGAGAGAAAAAGTGGCCGTTCACTCGTGTCACATAATACATGGCCGGCGCTAACCTTAGAACCGAAAGACCGAACTAAACCCTAGGCGCAGTTTAAGTTTGTGTGTGTATTGAAAAAAACCGACCAGCACTGTATAAAAAACAAGTAACAAATCCTCCATTCTAAATCAAACAAGACGTATTGAATAGATTTGTTGATCCAGGTCGTCTCCAGGTCGTTTCCAGTGATGTCCAGCGTTGCCGTTAAAAAAAACTAACCTAGATTTGGCCAATTGACCCTGGCAAATGCCAGTCAAAAACACTAAACCCCACCTAGATTTACACGTGGTAGCTTCACCTATACATCTCTTAGGGCTTCGTATACTCAAAGCCCTGCTAATCCTAGACCTAGTCCTAGTATTATAAGTCTTGACTTGCAATAAATATACAGAGAAAAATTTAAAAAAAAACCAAACATATTTTAGAAATACTTATTGCACGTCAAGACTTGTTTCACATGTTCCATATTTGATTTAGGAACGACCAAAAACCCCACTCTTAAGAAAAAATAATAATTCACCGATATCCCGAGCAAGTGAAACGAAAATAAAATTTGAACATTAAAAATATGGATTCATGGTATTAAAAACATGTTTTTTTTTGGAAACTTGCTCAAGTATCTTGCGTTGATATTAACACGAGTTACCCTTGGTTTTCTATGTAGCCGTGTACTTGATCATGGATCTTGGTTAGATGCCTGTGATGAAAGATAAATAATACATGCTTGTTTAAAATGAATGAATTCTTTTGTTATATCTTCCAACATGGCGGACATCCCTTTTGTTATTGTGCTCTCTTGGGATTGATTGCAAACCAAGAATTGTACCCACGAAAAGACTCAAATCCTTACAAATATTTAGAGCTGATTACTGAAAAGAAAACTGCTAGTCATATACTTTTTACGAGAGTGAAGTTTAATTTTGTATTAGTTTGAGTTCAGTTTAAATTATGCTATCTCTTGTGGATTATTCTTTTCTTTGAAATAGTTACAAGGTCTGGACCTGCCCAGCTCTTTGACCGTCTTCTTGCCTTTTTTTACTACATGAAATAAACAGAAAGAGTTCACTACCAAGTTTCAAATAAATTGGCATGAAAGCCGTTGAAATGAAGACACTAGACACCAACCTTAAAAACTTCACTAAATAAACGTTCATAAATTCTATTTCTATCCAAACAGTTTGGAATTTCCATCGAACTGCAGAGTATTAAACATAGCTATTAATTTATTGAAATATTTAACAACGCAGTATAATAAAATTGCAAGAAACTTTTACTGTCTTTGACTGTAATCCAATTCTTTGTAAGAAAGGCTTTCATCACATTCGAATACCAAGGAAAATAAGCCGCTAAATAACAAGAAATTTGGCTGCTTCATTCAAATTATGCGGCCATTACTGAATTGAAGTTTTGTAAAATATGCTAAGAAATTACTGAAGGAAAACATCTACTAGTGTAAAAGCTAAGTACGACATAGAAAGCTTGTCTGTAATTTCTTTTTCAGTATAGGGGAATAATGTGTAGAGTTACGAGATGAATTTTACCCTTGACCAACTTACCATTTTTCTCCCAAAGCTGCTTCATAGTTTTTCTTCGAAACTGCATTCAAAAGTGTCGAGGTAAAGATCATAAAGCACCTGATCACGTGATATTTTTCATGTCAATCACACCATTTCGTCCAATCAAAACGCAGTATATCAAGGAATCGAATGATGCATGGTTGCACGTGGAATCACTGCTTTATGATCGCATGGACATTGATCAAATAGAATTGAGAAAACGTGACGGCTGCTTGCAGATCTCTCGTGGATTCCTTTTTTGGTAATCCTTATAAGGCCATTTTCGTTGGAATTCTTGCATGATATCGGTGTTATCAATCATGCGAGGAAACGTGCGAGGAAACATTTGCGAGAGTATCTGAGTTGGAGGGGGCTGGGCGAGCACACGCGTTTTGGCGGGAAAATTCCCGCCAAACCCACAGGTAGCCTAACAAGTTAGGAAAATTTTCGATTCAGTTTTATTAGTCAAACTTTTCGGGTCACAAGTTAGGCGGCAGTTTAGCAATGCTTCCTGAAAAAAGTGTAGAAATAAAAAAATCGAAAACTCAAGAAGTAATGTCAATATCATTTTTTAATTAGAATTCTATTATATTTACACCAAGGGTGACAGGGCACATTTTTAAATGAACATCTTTTAATGGAGGGGGGCTACATATTTTTTCCATACGGAGGTCAAAATAAGACAAAATATTAAGATTCAATTCTCGTAAAAAAAGGAAGGAAGGCTTTAAGTGGGGGTGGCGCGCTAGAATTTGAATTTAGCGTGTATGGTTTTACGACTGCGTCTTTTTTATAATTACAAATTTAATGCCCTGGATTTCATATAGTTTTAATTATTTTCTTCATTTAATTTTACTGAGACTCTTTCACTCGAAACTCTACACATGGATAACAGAAAGGTCCAACGTCCTGTACAGGCACGCTGTCGTCATCACCTGTCACTTTGGTTTCCAAGGTAACCGTGAAGTTTCTTAGCAGTGTGACTAGTAGAACCTTCATAAAAGCGTCAGCAACTCGGTATCCCATACACCTGCGTGGGCCTATTCCAAAACGGCATAAGCTTTTGCGCATGCTCGGTGTTTCGTTGTCGAATCGTCGTGGATTGAAGGTATCGATATCTTCCCAGACCCCCTGGTCGCTGTTGACTGCACTGTTGTCGACTGAGACTTCAATCTGAACGCAAAAGAAATGAAGAAATTGGTTTAGTTATTCAATTTGTTATATACGCAAGTCTACATTCTTGTTCACCTTATACTCTCACTGGGAATGAAATAAAGAATGTCGTACTAGCCAGTGACAGCCCTGACATTCCCGACCAAAATATGGCTGAACTGACTCACTTTACTCTTTTTGAATTTTGTTTGCATTTCAACATTGCCTTACCGAGGAGATTGTGAGCTAAATATATTCGTTACATTACTTCATTTTTGATAGAAAAGTCTATTATTTATATTTTTCATGGTTTCAGACAATCTAAGATATTAACTTACCCCTGCAGGACTGTGGAAGTCTCCAATCATCATTGGACAGGGAACATATTCTGGGGTACTGATTACCATGACGGGACGTTTTCTAGCTGATTCTTTAACCACCTTCCCTAAGAAGTCCATGTCGTTGAGAACTTCTAGATTTAAGGATCCTGAATGCTAAAGACGTAAAAAGCTTATATGTGAGATGATAATGTTGTTTCCACTTTTTCATCAGTATTTTAAACCTTTTCACTCTTTTCATTTCTTGGTGTGTACAGTTTCAGTGAACATCAACGTTCGATTTCACATATCCTTAGATGCTCGCATTTAGTCTTCGTAGGACGAAATGATATTTTTTTAGTCAACTTATAGAACTTTCTTTCCCGGAAAGGGGTAGGGGGAAATCTGACTCCCCCTCCATTGTTGCATAAAAAATGGCCTTTCCTATATTTTCCATTCTGTTTATTGTAAGTGTATTAAAAGTGTTGTGTGACTCGGATTAATTTATGTGCCAGCCCCCACCCCCTCATGAGGAAATGTTTTGATGACAACCCTCAAATTCCACGCCCCCATCCTCCCCGATAAAAAAAGAACGGTGCCTTACTTCTGAAGTCAAGTTTTTAATCTCAGTCGTGAGCTCCTCTTGGATTTGTTGATGAAGAGCCACATGAAACAGAAGCCAAGCTGTGGCACCACACGTGATGTCTACATTAGCAAGAGATGCCTCCTCCAGGGTTTGCTGAAACTAGAACATATAAAAGAAGGTAAAGCCCTAGACTCCGTGTGACCTCTATAAAAATCCTGAATCTGTCCCTGATAGACCTGTACAACTACTCGGTACTACCCTAAACCTTCGAAGAACAATAGGGTTTATTTTCGGAGGAAACGCATGCGCACAACCTACCTCTTCACATGATAGAGCTTCTGGATTCTCAGCAAGAGTTTTTTGCATCTTGTAAAAAACACAATCTGTGTCTTTAGATTTTCCTTCCACGAAACGCTCCTGAAAACTAACAAAAGCAAATTCTACATTAGTCTGGATCTAATAATTAATTATGAATGAATTATTTATCTTAGAAATGTCCTCTTATGGTCTCTTCTCCACTCCATGCAGCCCATCGATTCAAATCCAAATCAAATCAAAATGTGATAAAGAGTAAAAAAATTGAAACATTAAACCATTGTGCGCCTTCCATTCTTTAAGATGCTAAATCTAATGAAGTAAAAAGGAGAAAATTACCGCTCGTTGAGCTGCAGCCATCGTCTTTCAAACTCCGACGTTTTCCGGTTCGTGTCGGTAGGCAAGTATTCGTAAAACGGAAGTTTAACGAACGGATTCGTGAAAGTATCGGCAATTAAAGCACCCACAAGAGTTCTTAGTTCTATTAATTCTTGCAGCTCTTTTTCAGGTAAATCTCTTCCGTATGTAAACTTCATCAGCATTTTAAACGTCAATAGTATCAAGTCATCCATGTTGAATTGACCCTAAAATGAACGAAAACATGTATTAGCGCGCTGATGCGACTGCGCTACAGGATAGAGATATTTCTTTCCGCCCGTCTATTCATCAACCCATCCATTCATCGGTACACTCCGATCCATTCATCCATCCATAGGTCCGTCCGTCCATCAACATCGATTCATCCACATCATACACTCATCCCAGTTCATCCATGCACCCATGCATCCATCAATGCATCCATCCACCCATGCATCCACCCATGCATCCACCCACTCCGATTCACCCATCCATTCTTTACAACAACTTCGTTAGAAATTATTATTCAAATCCTTATACAATACCTCTTTCTCCTCTCTAATCAGTCTTAGATACTCTTTGCATTCTTCTTCCATCATGCTGATCGTCTTTTCCACGCTCTCTGCACTGTAACATCCATCAAAGCTACTGCGTATGCGCTTGTGTGCCTTACCGCTGGCCGTTCCAGCCGCATTACCAAAAAGCTGGCGAAATACACAACCAAGTCGAAAGTCCTTTGTTCGTTCATACTTGTGTTGCTTGGCCATGAACTTCACAGCAATATGAGGATCGGTTATTATTCTGTTTAAGGATAAATATTTTTACAGAATGAATTTAAAATATTTCTATGGTTAATTGTATGACCTCCTTTTTACACGCTACGCGCCCAAAGTGTTGTCGGCTATCAGTGACTTGAACGCGTTTTTTTCTTTTTGTCTTTTGCTTCTTGCAGAAGCCCAGTAACTTTCGTAGAAGGAAGGGAAAATTCCATTGTGACGTAAGTGTCACGCAGTGAAAATAAATCATTGCGTGAAAAGCCTTTACTGAAGCGAAACTCCGTCACTAGTTTCTGATAATCGGTTGAGTTCACCTCCAAGTTTAGCCAGGGAAAAAAGGGTCCGATTAGACTTTTACTCACAGTTTTGGTGGACCAGGCAAGAATCGAAGCAGGTACATCCCGAATTTCTTCAAAGTTTGATCCTTCATCGCTATCAGTGGAGGCGAAAACGTCCTGAAGGAAGTTCCTTTGATGACTACACCAGAATCATTCTTCCAGAAATAAACCTACAAATATTTTTACATACAGTGTTTAATTTCATATCATTGATTCTTTACTTTTCATATAAAAAATTCACGGCAGAAACCGGAAGTTAGTTCAACATTATTTCACAACCTTCAAATGGTAATTGAATATTACATCAGTTAAGCCAGAAAATCAATATTAAAGACATTTCCTAAAGCATTTTATTTGGGACAGAAAACGCTCATATACTGATACATATATGGGTTCTTAATTTGTTCCCTCCGTTTTTCATTTTGCAAAAAAAAAAAAAAAAAAAAAAGTTTTATATTTATTACAACGATTTTAGTGTTTTGAAATTTTCTTTAGCCAAATATTTTAGTGTCTTTGATATTAGTCATACGTTTTTCACCAGCTTTTAGCATGAGTAGCATGGACTAAAGAATCAGGGTAGCAAACTCAAGCGAGTTGAGCAACTGGATGTTTTTTTTTGTGGCACTAAGACTTACCTCATTAAACCATTTATAAACCCACAGTACACAAACCACCAAGACTGCAATAACGGCGATGACAAGGCTCGGAATCATCTTCAAGACTACTCAATACTAATACTGACTGAAGGAAAAGATCTGGACTCACTGAAAACCGAAATCCCTATGAAGCTTCCAAGTGTCACGCAATCGTTTTGTTAACCTTCCGGGGACTTCCTGTCTACGTAAGTAGAACTTCACGTGACTCGGGGATCTATTCGTGGCGTCTTTCTTTGTAATAAGGTAATAATCCCTAAATAATCTCATATGACTAACGCAGGACGATTTGTCAACATCAGGTCACGAGATGTTCTCAGTTTTCCTTTTTGTATCCATGCGTGACGTAATTATATTGACATTCCTTGATCGATTGAGCTTTCCAAGAAATATTATACCATACCGCTCGGTATTGCCCAACCAAAGTGCACCAAACTATAAACAAGTTATTGCAGTCTTAAATTCGTTACACCTGTGCGTGTGCAAATATGAATGACAGTCTTCTTGTGTATATTGAATCTCGATTAATTTCACACATAAAATTGAAAAATGAGATATTCAATATGCATGTTTACAATGACGTCATAACAGGAACCCAGTTGGTAATTTTTGGAATTTTGATCCTTTTTTCTCAGAAATGACAGCAATTGTTCCTGTCTTTATGTTGTCATGATCACAAGGTATTTCACTTTATTGTTTTTACTCTGAAAATAAACTCATTGTTTACTGATATACGTGGGGTGGGGAAAAGTTGAAGCTTTAGTTGACGTGACTGAAGTGAAATCAATGAATTAATATTTTAGCAATCGAGGGGATTTACGATATTTGACAAAATGATAGTGGAGAATCCCAGTAAAAAAAACCTGAATAAGATCATTATTCAACATTTCATTTCGTTCGTAGCAAAAAAAAAAAAAACAAAACAAAAAAAACAACAAGACTCATTAATTTGCTAATCTCGTGATTCTTGGAATCGAAGTTACGCGACAGGCAGCGGTGCAAAATTAAAGCTGATCAGGGGTATTCTATTTTCCAAACTCTATTAATTTTGTTTTAATTTGACTGTATAAATGAAAGCAAAGATTAAAATGAAATACTTATTCACGGGCCTTTTTTTGGAATCAAACTACTGCACAACAGCCAGTTGATCGAGCGTATCTTTTTTTCAAGAGTGCTTGTATTTTATTTTATGTTAAATGAAAACAAAGGAAAGTTGACCAATCTTATCTTTCTTAGAAATCGGCGTAAGTTCGTGACAGCCACCAGTGCAGCGACAGTACGGCTAAATTTATCGACACATAATCCAAGAACGATCTTGTTTTCTTAGTAGGAATTTCACCGATGTAACACCCGTTACAGCAGAGATGACGTCAAATATCGTTGCCCAATTCGCATTCGGCGGGTGATATAAAAGGCGCGCCTAAAAACCCCAAGCTCATTATCTTTTGGTGTTTGTTTTAATTACACTAGCCAGCCTGAAATCACGAAATCTCAGTTGTGTTTGGAACATTTCCACCAAAGTCGGCAATTTCACATCAAGATGGTTCTTAACTTTGATCAAGATGAAAACAGCTGTGTCCACCAAACTGGCCGAGAAGTGATGTCAGGCAACGGTGTAGTACTTTTTGGAATGAGTCCCGGGAATCCCTACTTCAAATCTCGTGTCATTGAAGACTACGTACAGTATCTCGGAAAGGATAATCGAAGGATAATTGTGGTCGTGCCACAACAACCTGCGGAACACACATATAGAGCATTGGGTAGCAAGGATGCTGTGAAGAGAGCTAAGAAAAATGCCAGTCAACTCAAATCCCACTGCAGGAGAGCTATTGAGAAGGTAAGAATTGCGAGTTCAATTATTTGATAGATAGTATGGTCGATCTTTAAAATTAATGTAGAACATGCTCGAGACTTGATGATGAAATAGGTAGAAAAGGTTTCAATCATCCGCGCTCATCCATCAAACATTCACGAGGCTGATCTAAGTCACGGCACGGTAACTCATAGATCGATTCCTTTTTTTCCTTCAAGGTTGGCAAAACTGAAAATGTAGCCGGAGACTTCCACATGCTGGACTGGATCAAAGAGGTGGATACCCACGAAGCGTACATCGCAGCGTTGGACTTTGTCGTCAATTTCTACAACAATAACCTCGAGTTTCGCCTTGACACAGCAAGAGCTACTGCTAAAGTCTTGGGAAAAGATACCATGTCTTCTGATGACAGTGGATCAGGTAAGATCGACTGAATACTATTTCATTTAGCTTAAAGTGCAAATGTACCCTTTGACAATACATTCAGCACTAGTTCTGCATAAAGTAAATAGTTGATTGGTAAAATATTTCTTGATTTGAGTGATGCGT